AACTTTGACAATATGAAAAACTGTATCGGAAACTTTGACACTTTCAAAAACTTTGGCAGAAACTCTGAGACTTTGAAAAAATATGGCTAAAACTATGACACTTTGAAAATTTTTGGCGAAAACTTTGACAATTTGATTTACTATTGCTTACTATAGTTAACTATAGTAAATATAGTTTTTTTTGTTAGGGAATAACCTAGTCAACAAATATAATTTATCATTGTGTCAGATGCTGATTGACGTTTTTCATACTTGTTGTTAGTCCAAAGGCTCATCATTGATCCAAAACTTCGTGGAATTTCTTTCTAAAATTTGATCGTGATTGTATGAAAGGCAAACAACAAGCACACTCATAATGTAGAGTCACAATGCAACAATATTTGAAAATTTTACCACCTATCAATTACCAATAAGGTCACACCAGCTTCTGAAAATGGATAGTTATGAAACCCGGGGGAGACGTTAACGTAATGTCAGATGTGAAGTTAGATATGTCACGTCACGTTATAGAGGCATCTCACGATTCTGTCCAACTCCACTATGTAATTCTACAAAATGCGGCCCTTTTTCTCCATTTTTTCCATGCCCCCGTAGACGAATTATTTGTATCTCTGTCTCTTGGTCGGTCTGTCTGTCTAGCTGTCTCTCTGTCTGCATGTCTTTCTGTCTGACTCTCTGTCTGTCTGTCTAGCTGTCTCTCTGTCTGACTGTTTGTCTGTCTGTCTCTCTAGCTGTCTCTCTGTCTGTCTCTCTGTCTAGCAGTATGTCTCTCTGTCTGTCTCTCTATTTGTCTCTGTTTGTCTATCTGTCTGCCTTTATGTCTCTCTGGGTGTCTGTCTGCCTGCCTGTTTCTATGTCTCTCTGTCTGTCTGTCTGTTTCCCTGTCTGTATGTCTCTCAGTCTGTCTCTCCGTTTGGCTCTCTGTCTGTCTCTCTGTCTGTCTACCTGTCTATCTCTCTGTCTCTCTGTGTTTTGTTTGTTTGTGCGCAAATAGTTCAGCCTTGCCTATAGCTTTTTCCTTTTGACAGGACCTCTCTTTGTATTCCACCATATTTGTTCTTTTGACATTGATCTATGAATTTTTATTTAGCAATATACTAAGAATTTCAAATTTTATATAAGCATTTTTTGTGACAAGATCTTTTATTGGATATCAACAGCACTTTGACCTTTTGACTTTGACTTTAACCCTGATAATAACTTTTAAACGGTAAGGACAAGGGCTTTCATAATTTACACATGTTATCCTTGTGATAAAAACTTCTGTAGAAAAAAAAACAAGAACTTTGACCTTTTGACCTTAGAGCCTTACCAACTTTTTAAAATCCTTTACCTTGGTAATCACTTTTAAACGGTTAAATCTGACGCTTGCTTACTTCATGCAATCCTTGTGAGACGACCTTTCTTTGGAAAGCAACAACTTTGTCCTTTTGACCTTGACACTGGAATTTGACCTAATTTCAAAAAAAATTATCCTTTTCTGTATTTGAACAGGAGGTAATTGGGTTTTCATATTTCACATTTGTATTTCTTGTAAAAAGACGTTACTTAGGGTAAGAAAAGTGTTATCTTTGTTATGTTTATGAAAGTTTAAGACATTAAATATCAGGAGCCAAACTCGTTCAATAGTCTTCTTGAAAGGTGAAGGATAATCCTCTTTTTTATTTTTGGACACCGGAATATAAGCTCACATATGTGATAAATAATTAAAATAATTGAGGTATTTTTGCCAAAACCGGTATATGTTTAAGAAAACCTTCGTAAAGTATTTTCTGTTGTTGAATCAAAAGTTCTTGCAACAGTAAAGTAGGGTCTTAATGTGTTTGTTACATGTTCTGTAAATGATCATCTTGTTTTAATTTTTAAACACAAGATGAAGCACGCCCTAAAGCATGGATTAATGCTACCTTATAGGTCCTTAATGATGGTTTAATAATTTCTTTAAAACTACCTACCGCGCTCTTCCTGTACTGCTAGAAGACAGATTCAATAGATCAAAAGTTCAACCCCGAGCAGGGGCGAAAGTTGGTATTCATATAAAAAGGAAATTTCTTTTTGCTTCCTATATTAATATTTCTTTACTAAGGGCAATCATGTTAGTTTAAGAGTTGTTTTTTAATATGTATAATATATTTATATAACACTAATACATCCCCCTCCCCCCAAAAAAGTGGAAAAAAACCTATCAAAAAAGAAACGCGTAGTACGAAAATACCTTGAAAAAAGTATGATAGTTCTTTCATACCTATTTTCATGTGAATATGACGCATTCAAGTAAAATACGACTGTTTTTTAAATTGGAATTATTTACTTTACAGGTTTTCTACAAACTCACAGATTTAAAGATCTGATTTTGTAAAATGCCCTATAAAATGCTGATTTCCATTTTCATTTGTTGGTTTTTGATGCGATTTTCTAAGGCACAAAAGCGAGAGTTTCGATATTTTGATTCTGGTTTTATAAACAAAATACATCTGTCTTAAAATCCTGCATCTGCATGTTGCAAAGCCATGGCATGAAGGGGAAAATAGGCGACTATAATCAGATGAACAACAGTCTACAATTCCAAGAGGCTTTAATGGTACGCAGGGCACCACATCTAACTTATAAAAAAGTATACCATTAACAAGGAACACCTAATGTTTGCAGAAGATATGGTAGAGCACGTGCGACATCAGGATAACCTGAATTTTGACAAAGTAAAACAAAGACGTTATCTATAACATTAGCTATCCCTTAAATGCACAAACAATCTAACAAGACCGTTTCCAGTTGACTACAAATTATTGCAAGATGGTTATTCATGAGATTGTTCTGACCCCATAACACCCAAATATCAACTTCAAAGATCTCAGATAAATAGAGTACAATGTATGATCACCGCTTCACCGCTGAACATTTGGATTAAGCTACTACTACAGAATGTTTATCAGAAAGTCTGTTTTAAGTTTAAGAGTGCTAAGGCTTCGTTAGGAACTTTAATGGTGGTTGTGTAATGATGTAGAAAACGGTATTACATAAAAGTAAGACCGATTTGGTTCCGACGCAGATGTAAAAGAGTACTATAAGACTAGCGATATTTCTACCTGCACATTCCATTTCAATTTTGCAGCATTCTAGAGCCGAATTTAAACCTGACAACACACAGCCACATACGTCTTGTTTGACACTCGCACTCTTGCAAAGCAATAGCAGTCTGTTTATGCAATAGTTCTCTCAATCGCCAGATTTAAACCCAACGGAGCGGAATTGGACAAAATGGATAAACCCGATTTGCAGAAGACAATCGCATCCCAAAATTCTGAAACAACTGATCAAATCTCAACATTTGGATTGGGAGAGTATTCCTAAACAGTTTTTAATACATAAATATATTTGCTTCCATTATATGCCGTTTTCGGTTATCATTTGTGTCTGGGGGCATACCTGTGATTGATCTTAAATTACCTTTCTTACCGTCTGTCATTTTTACTTTCTTAACTAACTTTATTTAGATAGTACATGTTTTCCTATTGTTAACCATATTTCTGAATTATCATGAAATCATATAACTTAATAGTCTTTCTGTTCAATGTGTCACTAAAATTCTACTAATTAGTATGTGTTTCTTTTTTGTAAAGAGTATAATACTAGGCTTGAATATGATTTTTTCAGAAGAAAATTGCTATATATTTCCTATGAATTCAGCAGTAAACTATTGCTCCCCACACATGAAAGAAAACTATAATGTAGATTCCGAAATATAAACGAGGAATTAATTATGGCGTTATTTCGCGAGAAACGCCAGTAGAGATATAACGTTACTCGATTTTATTTTTATGCTGTTAGAATACGTACAGCCATGACAGATTTCCCGAAAAGCCACAAACTCGCGAAGTACTTTTCTCGCGTTAGTCGTCGAAGATAAGGCATTTACAGTATTTTTTAAACGTAATATTCTATGTGTTTTGGGATAAATATAATTTTGAAAAAATAAGCATTTAACCCCTTTCATGGTACATACGCATTTCCACGCATCTGACTTGAAAAAGAGTATTATGTGAACAAACATTCATAATTTTGTTAATGCTGAAAATATCAGAATAATCCCTCTACCGTTAGAAAGAGAAAATAATTGCGATAGCCAATACATAGAATTTTTTTTATTGGTTTTGGCAGTATTTTGCTAACTTGAGTTAAACTTTGTGCACTATTTTAGCGATTTCGCCATTATCGATATCAATGCGGAGATAAGACGTAATGACACCTTAAAATGCTAAATAGGCAATTTTGCCACATATGATCCACATATGCATTGCCTTTCATATGAAGATCATATGTGGATCATATGAGAATCATATGTATATACAATCATATGAAAATCATATGTGGCCAATCATATGAGAATCATATGATCAAACATATGTTAATCATATGAAGTAATATACATATGATTTTCATATGAAAGGTCTTACATATGAGAATCATATGTATATTTTGGCAGTGGCCATAGGAGGATCATATGAAACTGATTATATGAGAATCATATGAAACCACATTCACTAATTTGCCCTTGTTATACTCAGGTAAAAAATCATATGAACATTTTGACAGTGATCATATGAGAATCATATGAAACAGTGATTATATGAGAATCATATGAAACAGTATTCACTAATTTGCCCTTGGTATACTCAAATAAAATGGCAATTTCAATAATATATCTCAATAGTAATTTAAATGTACATCAATTTCAAAAGAATCTGTTAGCAATGACTTATGTTAAGTTTTACTCTGTTTAACCCCCACCCCCCCTTTTCCCTTATTTTAAAAAAAAAAACTTCACAATTTTCTTTTTCTGTAATAATTCATATCCAAGACAAAATTGATAAAGAATAAATTAATTTGCTTTTTATTTCAAGTCTTTTTTGGTTTGGGTTTATTACTTGAGTAAAATAAAAAAAAAATCCGTATTTTTCCCGGACAAGTTTTGACTTCTATCGCGCAGATGAAAGTGTACGTCGTGTTTGACGTCACTGCTGCAGCAGAAGTGCTGGGTGTTGGAAAAAGTAAGTAATCTCCAAACAATATTGGCATTATCCTGTTATTCGCTCCGCGGAGTGAATAATATTTGACGTTGTTGACGTTACGTTTTTCTTCATATTTATACTTGCCTTTGAACATGTTGAAAGAATACATAAATATTTTCAGATATTAGCCTTTATTCCGTGGTAATTTTTTTATCACGACAAAATTTCATTACAGGGCATATTGGATAAAATTTTAGATGTGAGAGAATTATTCAATGCAATGTATAGCGTTTATTCCGTGAATTTCTCTTATACGCATGAGGAAACAGCAACTGTTATCAATTAATTTACTCTCTATATATACTATGACGGAATAAACAGCTAGTATTTTCATAAATGATTTCATGTTTATACATTTATCAGGAATAAAATGTTATATATTATGTTTGTTTTATTACGAAATAAACTACATGTTTTATTGAGTAAAATTTTAAATGTGAGAGAATTATTTGGTATATATAACGTTTATTCCGTAAATGTCTCTTATATGCATGAGGAAAACGAAAACTGTAATCAATTTAATTTCTATATTATTTAACGAAATGAACAATATTTTCATGAATAATTTTATGTTTATACATTTATCAGGGAATAAAATGTAATATGTTATGTTTAAATTACGCTTTTTTTGTCACGGAATAAACCACATGGTTTATCTTCTTGTTTTGTCCATTGTTTGCTTACATGTATGACCGATTAGCTAGGGGGTGTACACACTGTGGCTCGAACCTACCACCCTCAGATTTAAAATCCAACGCTCTACCGAATGAGCTAAAGGGTTAACCCACTAGCTATTGCTAGTAGGAGCGTGGCCTCACCATATACAACGCATAGCCACTTTAAACTCTGTTACACTTCCCCCTTCTTTTTCTTGAGATTTCTTACCCCTAAGAAATCTCACACACGAGACTCTGTAAACACCACTAACCATGTGGGTTTTTTAGTTGGGCGCCAATATGACCGATTAGCTAGGGGGTGTCCACACTGTGGCTTGAACCTACAACCCTCAGATTTAAAATCCAACGCTCTACTGACTGAGCTAAAGGGTTAATCCATTAGCTAGTGCTAGTAGGAGAGTGGCTTCACTATTTACAACACCCATAGCCACTTTAAACTCTGTTACACATGTTAAATTTCATTGCGCAGGACTCAAAAACATGTAGAAATGTGATAAATTGTATGTTTATTTATACACCCGTAACGGAATAAACCATATTTTTATGCTACTTAAATTATATTGTTCTATAAATTAAGGAATCCATGCCTTGAAGTGGTACAGGTATATCCAAGTGAGTTTAAAATATCCTTCGAACAGTGAATGAATCTCTGTACATACATGATTTTATTTCCTGTTTACTATATCAGACCTAATTCAAATTGAATACCATAACAAAAATCGAAAAAAAAACACACTTTCACGTTTACTACTTAACAATACGAACAATGACCGAATGCATGAATAGTGTTCACCTTATTGCTATGGTTCAGTTATACTCAGTATGGTCTTTGTAAAAATCTTCCCCCGTTTATTCGCATCGGTGCTAATAAGTATACCTCTATTTTCATCCCTTTTTAAAAATACTTTTCTCACAATGAATATCTACCAAATATTCCAGTTTAGCTTGAACATGGAAAGATCGTCTGTATATATATACTCCTGTTATTCGCACCGGTGCGAATAATTTTCACACTATATCCATTCATTAAATGTATTTTAGAGTGTCTCCCCCCAAAAATATCCAAGCCCCATTTTTTTATATTCTCTCCCCCAAAGAAACCCTTTTCCCGGGAATACTTCCCTTTCCTGGGCATTTTAGCTTGAAATCTGGAACTTCGTCTGTATATATATACTCCTGTTATTCGCACCGGTGCGAATAATTTTCACACTATATTCATTCATTAAATGTATTTTAGAGTGTCTCCCCCAAAAAATATCCAAGCCCCATTTTTTTTATATTCTCTCCCCCAAAGAAACCCTTTTCCCGGGAATTCTTCCTTTTCCTGGGCATTTTAGCTTGAAATCTGGAACTTCGTCTGTATATATATACTCCTGTTATTCGCACCGGTGCGAATAATTTTCACACTATATCCATTCATTAAATATATATATAAATGAAAACGGAGAATGTTATGGATTTCTTTAATTTATACATTTGTATTCTTTAAATTTTAAGAATAACAAAACACTTGATATTTGCATTTTTATTATATAAATGTTAGTAAGGAATGCATTTTCTCATTACTGTTATTAGTTTCACCTGAGATTTTATTTTTAATTTCGACCTTGACCTAAGATAAATGGATCGTACTGAGGTTTGTTTTAGTTTTATTTGCTATTTCTGCATCCAAGGAATGTTTTGACGTTACGTCAACAACGTCAAATATTATTCACTCTGCGGAGCGAATAACAGGATAATGCCACAATATTTTTAAAGACCTTTAATTTATGTTGTTTTAATATCGTTTCATTACGGTTACAGCTTCGTATGAACTCATCTCTGTAATACTTTCAACACTTGTAATTGTTAAATTAATGCATTTCGTAACCTGCATAACGTTATTGATCTGTAAGTAATTTTGGATAAATTTATTTCTGAATGGATGTAAACATTACAATTTACGTGTTAAGCTAAAGGCATTACTTTGTTTTCTTTTTGTTTTGACTTTTGTTACGTACTGATTTGAAAGTGAAGGTAGAAACCCTGTATAGCAGTTTGGCGTTTTTGTATGTTGAGATCGTTATCAAGTCGATTCTTTCATCAACTTAATGTGTTTTTATGGCCTTTAGATGCATTCAACAACTTGAGTTCAGTGTCACCGTGCTACTTTTTATTAAGTCCAAGAAGCCCAAAGCTGATAAGACTGGCAATTGATCCAAAAGCTTATTGTAACAGACGATTGCATCATCACAATATTAAAGGTAAAAAAAAGAAATACTTGCAATAAAAAATCAAAATGAATATCTGTAATGACTCCTTTATGACAAAATATTTCTTGATAATTTTGTTTTGTTCCTTTGTAATTCTACATTGTTTGCATGGCTTCATCAAAAATAAATTCAACTCAATAATATAGAAGTTGTATTCTACATTTTGAAACAATTTTAATCCAATGCACTTTTAAAATATGGTAAGTATGAATAGAATATGCTGGCTTTAAAAGCTATGAAACTATACAATAACTTCAGGGGGTAAATTGAATTTTTGAATTTCAGCAAAAAATTAATAATAACAGTGGCAACTTTCAAGGTACACATATGCATGTGTATGTGTTGAAAGTACATCAGATAGCTAATCCACTGAATATTTACATCTATGTATTCATTGACTGACATTTATAAAAAAAAAAATTCCAATACTAATAGAGAACCTAGTTTCAGGTAAAAAGTAAGATATTTAAGACTATTGAGAACCTACAAAATTGTATACTCTCTCTTTTTTGTAGTTTGTTTTTGTTATGCTTAGAAAATATCTACTGTGTTAATATTGGTTTTACAGGTTCAATATACAGTCAGCCTCTCATAAGAAAAAATCCAAAGATCCTAGGCTTGTTTCAAAGTTAAGGTAACTACGCATTGTTTAACATACTTTGTTATATTCTTCCCAACAAAGTTTGGGATATCCTGGAAGCACAAAGTCTGTTTTTCTGCCTATCTACTTGTCTGTAATTTTTTATCCAAAAGTAATATATTTGTGTCAGAATCTTCTTAATTTTTAGCAACAATACTATTTGAACATTCCAAATTCAATTGACAAAAATAAAAAAAAAATTGCTTTTTATGATTTTAATATGAAGCATATCTTCCAATAGTGTAATTGTCTTGCAAAATTCAATTCAATTGTCAAAATAAAAAAATGCTATGAAGCATATCTTCCAACAGTGTCTTGCAAATAATATCATAGGATTTTACAAAACACTGAAACGGAAATTGGTTTTGTGATTTGGTTTCGTTTTAACGTTAGACCTACGTTCTTATAAAAATTCTTAAACACTAAAAAATACTAATTCTCAGATCATACAAGTAGTGTGAAACTGCCTGTGTACGGGGGCTGCACTGAGGTAATACATGTGTTACGGGAACTCAGGGGACCTCTCTGGTGACGGAGTGGATAAACATTAGTTTGATTCTTCTCTTGCATACGGTCGTAAGACCTGAAAAAGGCAGACGGATGCAGGGGATGAACAGCTAAGTTTTTCACAGTACACCAAAGCACGTAAGACCTGAATAAGGCAGTCACTTGGTTGTAGAGAGAGGTGGCATACCACAATTAGAGGTGGGGGAAGTGCCAAGATGCAGCAGTAATAGTGGAGAGGCAGAGCAAGAAGAAAATTACTTGCGGGAGACACCCGTTGACCACAGTTAGTGGTTGTCCAATCAACACGAAACCCCATTGTATTTGTATATATTTGATTATAATCGTATTGGTCAACAAAAACCTGAGTTAACAGGTTAACGAACCTAAGTGTAACTCCTCGGTGATAAAAGACATATCACCACAAACACCAAGCTCGGCCGCGTTGCACGTTACATTATTAGGTGGCAAGCGTCGGGATTTTGTTGACCATGGATTCGTCTAAGAAATTGTCAGAAACTATAGAGCGGATGGAGAAGCTTTTGAAAAGGGTGAGAACGCCAAACAGCGACGGTGATCAGACAAATGCGGAAAGCCAAGAGTCTGGATATACAACACACAGTACTGTTAATCAACCGGCCGGTATGTCAGGAGATATGTGTCATTTGACGAGTACGGCGCACGGCCTAAAGTTAGATTTCCAGATGAAAGCAAACCAAGCCACACACCAAGTGCTGGGGTTGACGACATTGTGACAGGCCATATATTTGACACGCCAAAACCACAGAGGCAGTCAATAGGGACAGACAATGCGAAGACAGGCCATATTATCAAGCCAGCCTCGTATGACGGAACCAGTTCCTGGCTTGACTACAAATCACATTTTGAGGTTTGCGCTGTTGTAAATGGCTGGACAGAAGTTAAGAAAGGTCTTAACCTAGCTGTATCACTGCGTGGCCAAGCACAGTCAGTGTTAGGTGACTTGCCAAGCGATACTGGTCAGCACTATAAGACACTGGTCAGATCCCTTGAGGAGAGGTTCTCCTCTCCTAACCAAACAGATCTGTATCGTGTTCAGCTAAAAGAACGAAGGCAAAGAACATCTGAGTCAATACCAGAGTTAGGTCAGGTCATTAGACGACTAACCAATTTGGCCTACGCATCAGCACCTGGTGAGGTGCGAGAAACTCTCGGCAATGATGCATTCATCGATGCCTAGGGAGATGTCACAAATTGTCAGGCAATGCAAAGTTTTGTACATATGTAAATAATTTGTAAATAGTAAATCATATGCGGGACGCATATAATCTTGAGGGGAGGGTAATGAAACGGAAATTGGTTTTGTGATTTAGTTTCGTTTTAACGTTAGACCTTCGTTCTTATAAAAATTTTTAAACACTAAAAAATATTAATTTTCAGATCATACAAGTAGTATGAAACTGCCTGTGTACGGGAGCTGCACTGAGGTAATACATGTTGTGTTACGGGAACTCAGGGGACCTCTCTGGTGACGGAGTGGATAAACATTAGTCTGTTTCTTCTCTTGCATACGGTCGTAAGACCTGAATAAGGCAGACGGATGCAGGGGATGAACAGCTAAGTTTTTCACAGTACACCAAAGCACGTAAGACCTGAATAAGGCAGTCACTTGGTTGTAGAGAGAGGTGGCAAACCACAATTAGAGGTGGGGGAAGTGCCAAGATGCAGCAGTAATAGTGGAGAGGCAGGGCAAGAAGAAAATTACTTGCGGGAGACACCCGTTGACCACAGTTAGTGGTTGTCCAATCAAGAAGAAACCCCATTGTATTTGTATATATTTGATTATAATCGTATTGGTCAACAAAAACCTGAGTTAACAGGTTAACGAACCTAAGTGTAAAGCTTCGGTGATACAAGACATATCACCACAAACACCAAGCTCGGCCGCGTTGCACGTTACAACACCTAGTATAACATATCTAACATTAGTTTTATCTCGTATTATATCTTTGTCGGTGAATTGTGAATACATTTGTTTGCTGATGATAAGTTACTTTAATATAACTTGTAGAATTGATTTGGTAATTTTAGAATTATTTTATTATTATTTTTGAAATTTTTGTAGAGATCATTCTGTGCCACAAAGAAATTGTTCAGGAAGGGGAGAACTGGTGTATTTGCATTTTTGGTACAGTTCAAAGAGATTTTCAAATGGTCAGATCAGAGGGAGGACAACTGAAAATATTGAAAAGATACAGAAGGAAAAAGCACCTGAAAACATATAGAATATTCAATAATTATGACATGTGGAGGATGTACACAATCTTGTCTGAATTGACCTGTAAAGATTTCCCATTCTTATTTGTATGCTAGAATATTAAATAACTTGATTTTTCATAAATTTACAATAGAGAATACATGACAAATGTTATTGCTGATATTTTTCAAATTTGCTGTGGACACTTTCATGTCATATGGTATTTTTATACAAGTACATGACCTAATTATTTTATTCATTTGTACATGTATACATGTTTAACTACTTAATCATTTTGCTGAAATCTTATAATTTGTACTCATTTTAGAATATGTTAAATACATGTATTGACAAATGCTACTGACTTGTTTGTATATTTTCTTGTTTAGAATGTACACTGTGAAAAATAAGTTATTTCTCTTGATGAAAATAATTTTATCAAAAACGTTGTGTAAGCATTATAAGATATTTTAAAATATTTAACCAATGAGGATAAACCATTGTAATGTAATGAATTTTCATCTAAAGCAGAAATATCTGATTTTTAAATGTGTACAAGAATGTGAAAAATATTGAAAGAGAACACACATAACTGTTTCATATGAATTACATATGTTGCCCCTTTCATATGATTCTCATATGTAAATGGCTTGAAACACTCTTAAGTGTTTCATATGATTTACATATGATACCCTTTTCATATGATTCTCATATGTAAATGGCTTGAAACACACTGAAATCATTCATATGCAAATCATATGTAGTTATTTTCATATGATTCACATATGTGGATCATATGTAAATCATATGATTTGCTTCATATGATTCACATATGATGCCCATTTTCTATGATTCTCATATGAAACCAGTCATATGTGAATTATATGATACTCATATGAGAATCATATGTGGCTAAGTTGCCTGTGTAAGTTCTGGTGATAACCTACAATGCAATCCTACCCCATTTCTCTAAAATTGTTTAAATTGGTTATAAAAAATACAAAATGCTCATAATTTTCAGCACAACAATAAAATGTTTTGAATATACTTTATTAAGCAAATTTAAAACAAAAAAAAAACAACAAAAAAACATTCTTGAAAGAATGGAAATTCCAGCATGATTATTGTGTATTTCGTGTCATGGCTTCTGAAATTATATTTTTATAATCATTTTCAGAAACTACATAATACCTGCTTTCAGAATATGAATACATTGGTATACAAAAGTTACAAGAAATACCCCCCAAAATTAAAAAATTAATGTCAATTTGTCTGAAAATGCTTAAATTCTTTGCCATGGAGGGGTTTTACAAACTGATCTTGGTTAGTGAAAGCTACGTAGGTTGTTTCCAGTGCACGGATTTATACGCGCTGTCAATGATGTTAGATATGACAAGACAGACCTATGAATCGAATAATATTTTACAATATAAAACAACTTTAAACTCAGCAAGACCTAATATAGAATGCGTAGAGGTGGTTGAATAAAGTTTAAGAAATACAATCTTAATCTTAATGGTGGCTTAAAAGTGACTAGATGAATCAACTTCTATACGCCACCAAAAAGTAACCATTAAGCCAACTTTAAGCAATTTCTCAAAGATGGCCTTTCAACTTGCGAGAGAATAGCTTATAATAAAATTTAGATTGTTGTGTTTCATCAATTACAAAATATCATTGCTATCAATTAAGAAATATTTGCTATTTGATGGGATGTTAATAGTCCTCGTATTGTCGATCAAAGTCAATCCTGGGTTAACAACATTAAACCAACAACATTTACGGAGATAACCACTTTAAGTTATCCCTTGGAGACGAAGCAGATTTTCTCTGCAACCTACACATTAGCATTTTATTTCTATCTATTTTGTGTCTGTCTTGCCCAAAATGATGTCTTGGACATGATATCTCCTCAAAACGCATGGATGGTTTGTAAATGTATTCCTCTTTCAAGAAGAATTTTTCATCTTCTTCTGTGATCTTTATGTCCGTGCATGAAAAACCCATTTCATAGATTATTCCCTTGTGAAAAGTTTCTGTTATCTCCTTAATATATTCCTCCACTGTTTGTCTGATTTTCTTGACACATTCTTCACTAAGATCCATTGTTTCTTCAAGAGTAAAAACTTGCAGCTGGATTGACGTTTTGCTGACGCCGATGACAAAATAATGATCAGCATCATCTGCCTTGTATAATACAGCATTTTTGAAAAAAGATTCTATATCATAAACTTCCCATTTTTTTAAACAATTGACGACCAATCGAAAGAAGAAAAAATGGGGTAAATAAGATTTGAAAAAGTAAACCATCATTGGTGATTTTTGCTGTCGGCTGATCTCATCTTTTCTGTCATAAGGAAGGTCGGTTCTGTTCATACTCGGAATGTAATACATCTCCTCCTCCTCAATAACACCAATTTGAGTTTCAATTCTTGTCATCAAGCCAAGTTTGTCCATGTATTGTAGAATGTCATATTTATGATTCAAATAAGACTGCAATATGAAATCATGATGTTTATTATCATCACGATTGTCTTGAATGTTTTTCCATATTTCTTCAATGTACTGTCCGCTTATTTTTCCAGTATTAACTAGTGTGTTTTCACTGTCTTTTCGAGCGAAATGCTTTTCGTCAGTTATAATGTACTTAAATGCATCAACAAACCATTGAACATCAATGATTACCGTTTCTTCAAGTTGATCTACATGGAAATATATGATTTTTCCTATATCGTGTAAGAAACAAAGAACATCATTGAGATCATTTTCGTCAATAGAAACAAGTATGGCCGTTTCTTTCAACTGTTGCTTTTTTAAGACTTTTTCACCGTTTGCTTTCTTCTGATTTATAATATTTTCAAGTTCAAACCATTTTAAGGGAACCTTTTCTCCCCAATGCGGCAGTTTTTGTACAGTTTTCACGATACACTTTTTTACATGATTAATCAAGTTTTGCTGTCTCCGGGTCAATGAATTTGGTGGACATTCTACCTCAAAATATCGGTATGGTGATATAAGCCTTTTCAAGGTTTGCTCCTTAGATAAACATGCCTCCAACTGGCTGTAAAATGAAGCCGGCATGTGCAGAGTTCCATCCTGCTAAATAATGGTATGAAAGAATTAAGCTCTTTAAAATATCGAACAGATAAATGTGGTAATTCTGTTGATAGGGTATTGATAAAAAGATTAGATATTATTGTAGATCCTTGTAGACAAGGCATTAGTAAATCAATTTATTTTTGTAGATAACAGCAAGTCCAAAAGAAATATGCATACAGGCTTTCAGTCTTTTAATTGTTGTCTCCTGCTTTCGTGAAAGCTAGGGGACATTGAATCTCATTTGCCTATCAGTCTGTCAGTCTGTCCGTCCGTCACAAATACTTTAATCTTGGATATATCTTGCGAATGAGAAGAAATAGGGCTTCCATGTTACACATGAATATTACTTGCGACATAACCTTTCTAAATACAGTATTATTTTTTGCCTACTTAAAAAAAATCAAACATTACTGTGTATTGGCCATACCTTTTGAATGAAAAAAGAAAGGGTTATCATATTACACATGTATATTACCTGTGACAAGATCTTTTTAAACACACACTATTATTTTTAACCTTGTGATTTTGACCTTGAATTTTGATCTACTTTTCAAAAACTATAACGTTGGTCATACCTTTCAGATGAAAAGAGATAGGGATTTCATATTAGACCTGCGTATTTACTGTGAGAGGATATTCCTAAATGCTTTATGATTTTTTACCCTTTGGCCCTGTCCTTGAAGTTTGACATATTTAAAAAAAAATTAAAAGGGACTCCAACCCTTAGCCAGCGAGGAAAACTCTTTAATTTATAATTTAATTCAAATGTCTTTAAATCAAGCTTGAAAATGAAATCTTTTCATGCAACAATTTTCATTATATGCCTTTCAATATGCTTCAAGGTTCTTTGAACTTCTCAGAGAAGTCTAATTAAAAGTAGAGATTTTTATCCCAAAAAAGCATTTTTAGATACCAATGTTTATTAACATGATATGAAATTAGAAGTGATTTATGGAGCTTTGCAAAGAACCTTGTCTTTGAAGTTTGACCAAATTTTCAAAAATGTTATTTTGTCCTGATCATTTTTGATTGAGAAAAGGTAGGTGTTTCATATCTGACATGTATATTTCCTGTGAAAACATATGCAGGTATTTCCAAGCATGTTATGGTTTTTGACCCCTTGACCTTCACGATTGAAATCATGTAAAAAAATGAACTTGGGTGACAATTTCTGAATTACATATGAAAGGACGTTTATATTTGACACAACATGCCATAAAAAGGCATTCCATCCACAAAAACACCGGATTTGGGGGACCACAATTCTTAGAATTTGCTTGTTTCTTCATAATTTTATTTCCACTGTGAACAAAATCTAGCCTAAAATGCCAGCAAATCATATGATATAATTAATCAAAGTAGAAACCAATCACCACTGGAATGCTTAAGATAAAACAATAAATTTTTCTTTCCTGTTCGGAAGAATACATCTTCCTGCGCTCGTATTTTATAAAATTTTAATCTCTGAATTGTCTCTAACCTATCTTCAAAGCTGAAATCAAATAACGAATTATAGTCATGGCTTATGATTCATATTTATTGGATGGGTTGCATTTTATGTTATATTGTAAATGTCTTCGTCCAAATTAATATTTTTGGTAAGAAAGTCTAATTTCTCGGTAAAGGTCATAGGTAAAAGAAATGTATCTTTCTGAAAGGTGTTGAAAAATATAGCCCAATGTACATGTAAAATTTGAAAGCCTCCGAGAAATTTATTTCAAATTAAAAAAAATGAGTGACTCACTCTAGGTTAAACTTTAAGCTAAATGTCTCGAATAATGAAAAATTAAAGAGTACATAAAATTGAAGAAACGGATTGAAAGAGGTGATGCATATCAATGTATCAGTGATCTGTTGTTCCTCGTTCGAAGGGTATCAACAATGTTAAATTCTTGGAAATAAGTTCAATTTGAAAGGTCAAGGTCAAGGATTAAAAGATCACTCTACATTTGCTGAGTATTATTATCATTATCAATTAAAATGTTAAATCCCTAATTGAAGGGTAAGCTGTATGTAATCACAGCAAATACAACTCAACGGCCATATGGCAAGCATTGCATAACATGTTTCTTAGACAATGAACGTTAGATTAAGTCAATCTTAAAAGTTTCCCCTTTCTGTTTTGGACTTATAAAAAAGAAAATAATGATTTCTATTCATTCAACAATTTATGACGATTTAAATGGGTTTAAACTAATTATAGTTGTTAAACAGAATCTAATTTTTTGAAACGTTTCGATTATATTTTTTGAAAAAAGTTGTTACATTGTATATTTTTTAGATATTTAAATCGATAGGCAGGGCCATTGAGCTGTGATAATTGGATACTTAACAAGAAGCCCGGGGGCCATATCGCTCATCTGAGCAAATTGGCTAGGAGAAATCAAAAATCAGATCAGAACTGAAAGGTTTACGGGGAATGCCTTCATATTAATACAGCATATGACTGCTGTTATTGATAAAAATATCTTTTAAAAACATTTTATTTTTTAAAAACATTTTCTTCCTAAATAATACTTCGTAATAATTTAAATTTGATTCCCCATTGTTTCCCCCCCTACCCCAAATGGCTATGATCTGAACAAATTTAAATCTTCAATGCATGAGGATGATGACATGTCAATATGACAAAACATAGCTATTCTGTTCTTGGAATTTTCCCTTTTATTTTTCTATGTAAAACTTTGAACCACTATTGTGACCCCAACCCAATCTTGGGGGTTATGATTTGAACATATTTATTTCTACAATACCTGAAAATGCATCCATATAAATACTAGTATCACTAATCATGGCTTTCCTATTCTTGAGAAGAAGATCTTTTAAATATATTTTAATGTAAAACTTGGATCCCCCATTGTGGCCCCACCCTATCCTAGGGGGTTATGATTTAAACACACTAGAATCTACACTATCTGAGGATGATTCCAAATAAATATCACTAATCATGGCTTTGAAGTACTTGAGAAGAAGTGTTAAAAGTTAAAAGATTTCCCTATCTAGTCCTATGTAAAACTTGGACCAGACATTTTGTCCCCACCATACCCCATGTGTCATGATTTGAACAAACTTGCATCTACACTACCTGAGGATAATTTCACATGAGTTTCATCTTTCCTGTCTCAATGGTTCTTTAGAGGAAGATTTTTGAAGATTTTTCCAATATACTAGTATTCCCTTGCAAAACTTTGATCAGCCATCGTGGCCCCACCCTACCCACGGGGGGTCATGATTTGAACAAATTTGAATTTACACTACCTGAGAATGATTTCATACAAGTTTAATCTTTCCTGGCCAAGTGGTTCTCGAGAAGAAGATTTTTAAAGGTTTTTCTTACATATTCCTATGTAAAACATTGATAGGCCATTGTGGTCCCAGCCTTGCCTCGGGGGTCATGATTTGAACAAACTTGAATCTACTCTACCAGAGGATGACTTCACATGAGTTTCATCTTTCATGGCCCCGTGGTTCTTGAGAAGAAGATTTTTTAAATATGCCACTAATTTTTCACTAATTCATAATTATCTCCCCTTGGAAGAGGACATGGCCCTTCATTTAATCAAACTTGAATTTCCTTTACCTAAGGGTACTTTGTAGCAAGTTTAATTGAAATTGGTTCAGCAGTTCTTGAGAAGAAGTTGCAAATGTGAAAAGTTTACAACAACAGCAACGATAATGTCAACGCCAGCGACAACAACAACGACAGACAACGGACAAATTTTAATCAGAAAAGCCCTCTTGAGCCTTTGGACAATTTGAAATAACAAGATTTTACCAAAATCATCAGCTTAAAAGCTTTCAAATTTTCAAAACCATTTTGCACGATAAATTACAGTCCCGGCTTTTTGATATGATTTACAGCTACTTCTACAATAAAAACAGATCTCGTAAATTCAACACCTTGTCATTGATCATTTGCAAAACTATTTTGTAAAAATATTCTCAGACGGATTGTATAAAAAAAGTACTGTGACGTTGACATCAAAAAAATATTTGCGATTATGATTGACAATACATATGTGGTTTTAGAGACCAGGTTTTAAAAAATCAATTGCAATTCCAATGGGTACTAATTGCGTCCCGTTATAAGCAGGCATTATTGAATTCATATGAAGCAAAATTTGTGCAAAATCTTGTGTTTAAAGAGAAAAACAACACTTGTCGTGGCCTTCAAATCGACATTTACATATATCGACTACGCATTGTCAATTAACAATTGTAATTTCCATTCTTAATATCAATACGATACATTCTGGTAAGATTGAGATAAAAGATACTACAGAGTCTGAAGCAACTGTTTCATATTTGGATATTTTACTTGCAAAGGACGTCAGTGGTAGTTTAACGGGTTTTTCCGTTATTTCTGTTATTGTCTGATCACGTTAAAGAGCACATGGCGTGTGTGACAGGTCAGTAGGATATGCTTACTCCTCCATGGCACCTGATCCGACTTCTGATGATTCGGAGGTCAGTGATTGCTCTGCTTCTGTCTTGTATTGTTCTATGGACTTTCGGTCTTGAATGAAGGATATAAGGAGCAGTATTCAATATCAAAGTCCATAGAACAATACAAAATAGGAGCAGAGCAAACATGGACCTCCGAAACATAAGAGGTGGGATTAGGTACCATTGAGGAGTGAACATCCCCTGGTGCCAGGTCATACCCGCCGTGCGCTCCTTGCCATGATCGGGATATAATGGAAAAAGCCGTCGTCAATTCAGTGTATGAATAATGGACTAACAATAAGTCTAAAAAAAACGTAATTCAGTATTTAACTCAATGATAAATTATTTTTGCTGACAGGATCATTGTATCCACCATAACACTTATGAAAGGATGACTTAAACGAGAAATTCTTCATACATTGAGCATGCATTAGTGTATCGAATCAACAAAGATATATACACTCCGTATGCAGGTGATGAGGGAATGTTGCTGCATAAGTAAGGGAAGTTGTCTATAGAAAGTTAATGTCATCACGTTTATCATATAGCTTGGTTGTTAGATTACCATTAACGTCTTTTTCTAGTAAAATATCTAAGTATGAAACAGATATGTCAGGCTCTGTGGTATCTGTTATCTCAAGCTCTTCAGGATATATCGTATTGAAGTAAGAATGGAAATTACCATTGTTAATTGACCATGCGTCGTCGATTTATCTGAATGCCGTAATGAAGGCCACAGCAAGTTTCTTCTTTTTATGCGTAGGATTCTGCACAAATTCTTGTTTATATGAAAACAAAACTGGGTCTGCTAATTTAGGAGCGCAATTGGTACCCATGGAAATTCCAATAGACTGTTGGAAAACCTGGTCTCCAGAAACCACATAGATATTGTCAATCAGTTACCCAAGCATCTTTTTGATGTCAACTTTTGAGTACTTGTGTGTACAATCCGAATCAGAATCTTGTTCTTTATCTCCAAATTTTTCATATCGTGCCAACACCTTTCGTGACACGGGGGTCTCGGTGTTTAAGGTCTCAAACGAAGGAGCTACTACCTTCACTCCAATTTTTAGATCACTTGTCTGTTTTGTCGACTAAGGTAAGTCTACGGAGAGAACTGATTGATTGATTGTATGTTGTTTAATGTCCCTCTTGAGAATTTTTCGCTCATATGGAGACGTTACCGTATGCCGGTGAAAGGCTTCTAATTTATACCTATACTCGGCACTCAGGGCCATTGAGCAATGAGGGATCTTTAAAGTGCCAACGCCTACCCCGACACGGGACCTAGGTTTCCAAGGTCATATCTGAAGACCCGTGATTCTGACTTCTAATGCTGAGCTTTTAGCGAAGGAACAGTCTCTACCTATGTTTGCTTCAAAGGTTTGACGCGGCGCCGCGAACAAGAATCGAACCCTGGCCTCCCGATCAAACGCTCTAACACTAGGCTACCGTGACCGGTCTATTGACTTAACTAAAGTCAATGTGTACATGTATTTAAATAATATATTATTTTATGCAAATGTTAATTATGTTCGCTGAAAATTAACACTGTTCTTACCAGCTTGTCTCTATGGGAGGCAACAAGAATTACTGGTTGAAAATTGACATTCGCTCTGGCGTATTTCCTTGTTGTGTTTTCCGGATCCTTTTGTGTTATTCCATCGTTGCAGTAAGTATTTATCGTTTGCAACCAAAAATGGAAGTAGTCTTAAAAAAAGAGTAAAATAAATAACAAGAGACTCACAATATTTCAAAAATTGAATTAAGTTCATGTTTTAAACCAGAAGGCATGTAGTTTGTAATTTTGGAAGAGGTATCATATCTGTTCATTAATACCTATAGAGGCAATTCAGAGGAACAAAAAAGAAAAATTACACTATGTCTTAAGAAGCGTCCTATACCGCAGTAGTCAGGTACCAGCGTTCTCAATCGTTTGAAATTTTACTGTATTTCAGAGTTTACGCAAAGCACTAAAATTTTGCGGTATTTTCGTGATCAAATTTGTAACTGAATTAAATGTCCTTAAAATTAACAAAAAAAGATTACATGCAATGCACACACTTTTTTTCATAAATCACTAATTCGTTACAAAAATGGTATGGTCGTACATATTGATAAAGATTAAAACACAAGTTCTGAAAAGCAGACGAAATTATGGTCGATACCATCGAACAACTAACCATTTCTGAAAGTAAATTTGCCGTGATTTTTGTTAGTTTTCTTGATCGAATTACCGAATTACAAACAAAGAAACCTCAGAATAGTAAAATATTTTTTGAGAGTTCCTTAAAAATTCAAAACAATTTATTTACATCAATAAAAAAATTTCGGTACGATGTCAATTTAGACTTACTGTACAGTGCCAACATAAGAGCCGTGGCTCTATAAAAAAAGACCTATTAAAATATTTTTTTTTATAAAAAAGATACAATGAATTGTTAATGCAACTCCCAATTAAGGGGGCCGACTGTAATTTTATTGTGTGAAAACTGCAATAGTGAAACTATTCATTTTATATCATATATAACATACATTAACTTAAGAAAAAATGCAAAGTTTGGTAAAAATATACCGCCCAGGTATTTGTCTCAAAATACAGGTATAATTACTTTAAGGCCATCTGGCAAAGTGCCAATTTTTCGCACTTTAAAGCAAATTATACAAATACTACCATATACATTTTGCTCAAAGTATAATATATGATGAGCAATACAATATTGTACATAATATGTAAGAACCAAGAAATTCTACCGCCTTGTTTCCAGAGGGGGCATATCAAAATGCCAAAAATAACAAATGTCCTTGTTTTTATAGAGTACGTACAAGATATGACTCATACAAAGGATTTATACAAAAAATTATAAATAAGTCGGAGAGATTATCAAATGCATATGTTTTATATTTTAAGAACATATGTTAATTAATTTTTTATTATATAGCATTTCTTATTACCCTATCTTTAGGGTAGCTAAGAACACCTGACCCCAAAAAAACCTGTCAATAGATTTTGTTGAAATTTTCACATGGCGTAAAGGGATGTGTAATGAACACTTAGTCGAAATATGAACATGGCATTGTGGGTAAATTACGGACCCAGGGGGCACTGAGTCAAAAAATCATAATACAAGATATGTATTACACATAAAAAAATTATTATGCAACATACATTCAATATTTAAAATATTGATACTGTTAACTTATTTGAACAATGGATTGTCTGAATATAGATGAATTTAGAGAATACAACATGTAAAACATTTAAAAGTTAACAAATTTGACCATTTTTAAGAATACAAATTTGACACTTTTTAAATTCTAAAAAAAAAAAATCTGTTCAATAGAATTTTAATTTTTTATCATTATGTAAAAGATTTATCTAATACCATTCTTCACTCAAAAAATCTTGGTCACATTCAGGACTAATAAAGGTACCATATGGTCCACAACTACCCCCCCCCCCCTCTTTTGGTTTCCTATCATAAAGGTAAGAATAATGATTAAAGTGGTTATTCAAAATACTGCATAGCAAATTAGGGAAAACCAGCTGAAGAAATAAATCAGAAGTAAAAATCAATTTCTAATAAATGACTAAAGAAAATATTTTTATGAAATTAGAAATATACATTGTAAAGTCATGTAGAGTAATAATATAAAGAGTAACCGCCCATTTCCCCTCACAATAAAATTTGTAATTAAATCAATATTGAAATAATACATAAAAATGAATTTTAATAATGTGCTTTATTTTGTTTTAATTTTTTTGAAAATTCCTCAATAAATATTAAATTATAAATTATATTTCAACAATAGATACTTGTAATGTAATCAAAAAACATAAAAAATCTTCAACATGAACCCTTTTGATTACATACATGAAAACAAAGTCTATGTTTTCTTATAGATTTCTAAAAAAATATATTGTATGAAAAAAATGTCCAATACAATGTCTCACTCAGAAATCTTGGATACATTGAGAGGTAATTTAAAACTATTAAGTTATAAAATGGTCTAATACCCCCCCCCCCCCCCCTCTTTATGCATCTAATATTTTTTTCACTGCACTGTCAAAATCCCCCCAATTATTAACATGTCAAATGCATGCTACTTTGTCCGAAACAAACATTTTGGTCATACAGAATTAAAAAAAATCCATCTGACATAGCACTACACAATTCGCAAAATTCTATTTCATAGAATAATAAGAATCTCATTGAAAAAAAATATGATAAGTACTCTTTCAAATTGATCAAAAGTCATTATATTCCATGAGCAGGTAGGCTAATAACCGTCCTTGACCTGAGGTATACATAAACTATACATAAAAATTAAAAACAAAATGACAATTCTGCACTGGGACATAACACTTGACGCAGGACATTTTATATAGAAAGATTAAAAAAAAAGATTATACATAAATATCTGGAGCAGCTTATTTACAAACCTGAAAAACACTCACAAGGTAGATTATGCATAATATCTGTTGAGTGGCCTATTATTGAACCCGACATTACAAGTCGACATATAATTATGCATAATTTTTTAAAAAAAGAATAATCTACAGCAGGGTAATACTGCAACTGACATAAGCAAAACATAACATACGTAGAACATTAAACATGAGAAATAAAAAAAGGCTGCATGTGGAGTGATCTATTACCACACCAGACATAACACGTACAGGGTAGATTATACATGAAAAATGGGGAAAAAATCTATATGTGGAGTGATTAGTTACCACTTTTGATGTAGATCTAACACTCAATAAACAGATACATATAACATAAAACTGACAAAGAAAAGTAGTCTACTGACTAATATGTTTTTTTCATTGTCCTGCTCTTTTTGGAAGGGATGGAAAGTCATTCTTCGGTCGAGCTGCAGTAGTTGAATCATCATCAGCATGAATGGTCTGAACCTCACATTCATATATCTTGTACTCTGTACTTTATGAATTTATCTGCAATATATAAAATTTAAAAAAATACAATATTATCTGCAGTCAATATTATAATATATTTCTCACGGTGTCTATATCCTATTTATAGAATTTCGATAAACTAACATGTATATGTAAGAGGAAAAGAGAAAATATATGAATGAACCGGGAATCAAACCTGAGACCCCTGCATCACTAGTCATGTGCTATACAGACTGAACTACCCTGGACGATATATATCAATAGCCCAAAGCATTACATACATGTTATTGTAGATATATAACTTGCAGAAGTTTACACCTCATACATGTAAATTGCCAATTTTCTACACTTATTAAATTTGGCATAGCAAAATTTAAATGATGATTTAACCATTATCACTATTATGCTGACAGCAAGATTCCCTGCTCTGCTATCCAACATCAAAAATGCTTTCAACTGGCCCTGTTTAACATTCTTCATCTCTAGCTATCCAACAAGACTCCTTGGCCTGGTTCCACAATAAACGGAGGCCAACATCTCTATTTCCTCAAAGTGGCGAAACCAAATAGGTGAAGTGTTACATGTACAGGTGCTGAGAAAAGTTACTACATGGGTTGGATGGTCCTAGACCAGAAAGTTAGTACCATCTTGATGGCTGAAAAAAAAAATAGATTCAATAGATATACATCTATTCGAGTAAAACCAAAATTTTATTTAATTATTTTAGTTGATTGGCAAATCACCCATTAACAAGAAAATCTAGGCCAACAGTTTCAATGTTTACCAGTTTTTCCCAGAGAAGAAAAACAAAAATAATCTGTCCCCAGTGTACAATATCTTGGAAATAAAGGTAAATTATCTGTCCGTCATTGCAAATAAATAATCTGACATCCATAAAATTTGCCCCCCCCCCCCCCCGCCCCCACCATTAAATGACAGTTCCTTACATTTTCTGAATTTACTAAAGTAAAGTTTATTTGTCATGCTGAGTAAAAATAGGCCCATCATTATGAAAGAAGTTTGAAATGAATATTGTCAGTGGCGGATTTAAGGGGGGGCGCCCCCTAAAATTGTCAAAGTTAGCATAAACAAGAGACCCATGGGCCTTATAGGTCACCTGAGCATTATGCAACAACTTTCCAATGATTGAATTTGATCATGTTTTAAGCCAGATGCTATGGCATTCATGATCACAATTTTGAAAGAGGCACCATTGATCATTATGACTACCTATACATTTAGCAGTTGCTTAGCTTGGTTACTTAATACCCATAGGCAGGGTAGGGGAACAAAAAATGCATTTCAACTTATCAGTAATATTCAGCAATAATTAATAGTGCCCTTACCACACATGAACCCCTGACCTTAGTACGAGATCCACACACTGCACAATTTTTGAAAAGGAATCCTTGCAATCAAAAATATTTGATTATTACCAAGGAGCAGATTTCAATCAATTTATTCATTTTCATTATACAAGTACAGCCCCCCCCCCATGGTACCTCTGACCCTGGGGCCTTGCAATTCGCAGTTCTGGAAGATAAGGGCCCTTGCTATAACTATATAGGTATTTCATCTGCTTCAAAAATACCCAGGAGAAGAGAAGAAAATTTTCAAAGATTTAATGTATTTTCACTATATAATCAATAGAGCCCCACACTAACACCAGAACCCCTGACCCTGGGGCCATAAAATTCACACTTTTGGAAGAGGCACTATTGCTCATCATAACTATGCACTCAGTTAGTCTATTTAATAACCGTGAGCAGAGAAGAAGATTTTCAAAGAATTCATGTATGCACGACGACGGACGAAAACGGATAGCAATAGGTCACCTGAGTTTACTCAGGTGACCTAAAAATCCAAGAGCTTCCCTGGGCCCCCACTAGGGCTTTGCCCTGGACCCGATGGCGGCCCCAGACCCCCTGCCTGAATCTGGCTCCCCCCTAACTTCAATTCCTGGATCCGCCCCTGATCGTTATGTCATATTAAAATTTATATGACTTACCAAGAGCTACTTTTGGCCTCTCTGTCGTTTTCCTTTCGGGGCCGGGCTTTCCCGTGGAAAGTGTCGGTAAATCTATTAATAGTACAGTACTTTCAGACACATTTAGGCCTAAATGTGTGATACAATAAAGTATCGAGTCGCCATCTCTTTCAAAGTTGGAAAAGATACAAAAGATTGCCTTTATCACTGTAACTGTAAGCATACAAACTGGTTTGTCAAGTTCCTCATCTCAACAAATCTTCGTCCCTCATTCGATTTGATGTCATTTTATGATTCACACCAGCTACGTCGTCTGCTTTGGAATAGCCATAGGGGTGCAAGTCGTTTGCGATGTACGGATATTTTATTTTGTAAAAAAAAGTTTTAGCGTTGTCCTGTTTCTTAAGATGTTATTAATCTCTCATTCGCTCTAATTTACTTGATCTACCTTTACAGCGGAGCCTTCCTATAACGTTTCCCGTGTACTTTTCTCGGAGCACGTTGTTTACAACTAAAGTCCACCATATTAAATTATGCGCATTTCCGGAATAAGCGAACCGAAAAATTCTTAATTTAGAATTCACATGCAATGTCACGTGATCGCTATCCGTAGCTACGTTAGTTAAGAGCGTCACGTTATATAAAGTCAAAAACACACAATTGCGACGCTAATCTACCTGTCGGTTTAAAAAAACGTTTTAAAAATCAGTTATCTAAAATTTTAAGAACATTTTTCTACCCATAATTTCTTGATTTTGTTTAGTTTTTTTTTAATCAAGTGAACAAAATTGCTTTAAAATTATAAATAAGTTTTATTTTACAATGATGTGCGAAAAAATGCGCAATGGAAACCACAGTCGGTCCCCTTAAACGTTACATGGAAGTGTGAAAAGTGACTTTGCTCCTTCATGCGTAAAGTCTTGCGAGGGTTTAATCATGCAAGGTGAAGCCTTCATAGCTAATAATAATTAATTGCTCTACCTTTAGAATTGAAATATAGGTATTCAGGGATTACAGAGCTCACCTCAACGAAAGTTGTCTTTGAATAAGGCAAAGTCACACAATTAAGCAACAAAAAGTGTACATCCAAAAATGCTAAATTTATGCAATTTTGATTTGATACTTTTGAATAAACCCATGTAAAAACTTCAAACTAGTTCTTCATCATGAAAACGTAATTAAAATCCAGCATCTGAAGCAAGTTTAAAAGTTTTCATCCCTTGATGTATCATTTGTGCAAGTTTAGTTTAAATAAGCCTGTTAGTTTCTTGGTAATAGACATGCACCGATAACTTTTACGAGGTCAATTATCTGAAAAATGTATGTCGAATTCAGCATCTGAAGCAAGTATATTAGTATGCATTCTAAGATGTATCATCCATACAGGTTTGCTCAAAGTAGAGCTCAAAGTTACTTGGAAATGAAACATGTATGAAAAAACTAAGCTTTTCACTAATCCAGAAAATATAGGTCAAATTCAGCATCCGAGGCCAGCCTAGTAGAATGCACCCTTAGATGTACCATCCATGCAAGCATGGTCATATTAAAGGGCTCAAAGTCATGGAAATGAATCCTGCACCTAAAACTTTGACATGTTCACTCGTCAAAAAATGTAGGTCAGATTCAGCATCCGTAGCAAGTCCGGTAAGATGTATCTTCCATGCAAGTTTAGTCACTCTAGGGGACTCATAGATACTTTGAAATGAGACCTGCACTGAAAACATAACCCTGTTCGCTCAACCGGAAAATGTAGGTCAGATAAAGCATCCAAAGCAAGCCTGGTAGTATGCATCCTTAGATGTATCATCCATGCAAGTTTGGTCAACATAGGGCTTATAGTTACTTGGAAATGAAACCTGCACCAAAAACTTTAACCTGTTCACTCATCCGGAAAATGTAGCATCCGAAGCAAGTCTGATAGTATGCATCCTAAGATGTCCCATCCGTGCAAGTTTGATAAGTTTAGGGTTCATAGTATTTTTGAAATGAAACCTGCACCAAAAACATTAACCTATTCACTCAACCGGAAAATGTAGGTCAGATTCAGCATCTGTAGCAAGTCTGGTAGTATGTATCCTTAGATGGATCATCCATGCAAGTTTGGTCACTAAAGTGATCATAGTTACTTGGAAATGAGACCTTCACTGAAAATATAATCTTGTTCACTCATGCGGAAAATTTAGGTCAGATTCAGCATCCGAAATAAGCCTGGTTGAAATTTGTTCAGTGGTTTCAGGGAAGAAGCTGAAAATGCTCAAATGTTAACGCACATTTACTCAGGTGACCTAAGAACTCCTCGGTTTAAAAAAATGAACGTTATTTTTAAGTTTTTTTAAAGACCCATGACTATAATTATTTAGTATATTATTAATTAATAAATTAATTCAAGCCTTTGGAAACGTTCATTGAGAAAAATACTATAACAAATGGAAACAAACTTTGTGAAAGATAGAGATATTTTCCCCCGTTATCCATAAGTGGCGATGGTATACCGGTTAAGGCGTTCGCCATTCAGTCTAACTTTTGTTGTTTTTTTTAATTTCTTTTTCATTAGTTTTGTGAAAATAAAATTGTATAAACACGACAAAAAAGATTTGTGAGAATGAATCAAAGTAGTTATAATTTTTCGTCGATAAAAACAGTTTTTGACTGCATAATGGTAACTTAATGGTGGCTTTAATGGTAGCTTAATTGAGTTTGTTAATTAGGCATCTGTACTTATCTGTAGGTTTGGCTTATTGGTGACATAATGATTGTCAAAAAGCTAGGTGGCTTAATGGTGGTCTAAAAGCTACCATTAAACACCTGTTAGCTAGCATTACGTGTAAGCTAACATTAAGTAGCATTCACAAGTCATTTCACGTTATTTTTACGTTATGTCACAATATACAAAACAACTAATTTTCTCCCTTGCCATATAGCATCAAATACATAAATATGCTTTGAATAATTTCAAAACAAAACGCACACTAGGGTCTTTAATTAAAGACCCTAGTGTGCGTAATACACCGTGAACATTGCGCAAAGTGTGGTAAAGGAATATTTAAGATTTTCCCTTTTTATAAACTTCCAAATGAAAAAGAAAATTAACGTTTGGCAAAAGAATACTATTTTATCAACCTTTTTATACCCAAACGTAATTGCAAATGATACTATATATTTTAAATTTTGAATTTCATTTGTATAATTTTTGAAAGTTAGTGCAAGATTTGTACATTAACTAATACGCCAACTTAACGCTACCTTCATCTATTAGGACGTCACTATGAACTTTATGCTTTTGACGTTACCAGGTAACCTATCTGACATTTGTATAACTGCCCGAAGAGCCGAACATGGCGAAAGCACTTGCAGTGGTTGGTTTGTGATATTTTTGGATTTTTACTTTTAAATATACTTTGAATATATTCTGTACCGCCTGTGGACATACTAAATCACATCAAAGTGTCGTCAGTATTCTTCTCCCTTTGGAGAGTTTCTGACATTAATGCCAATGACAAATTCTTGTAAAGACTACTTGTATTTACGATATTTGTTAATTTTAAAACTATTTAACGAATTTTTATATCTATATTTCATTGAATGATTGAACAAGTATAGCGTTTTTTATCGATGTTCATCCCTATAATGTTTAATTATCACATTTCAACATTATGTATTCCATTGCTTTTACAAAAATAACGGATGTATAAACGTTTCAAAGAAAAATAATCTTAAAATACTGTGTAATTGGAGTCATTAGAATTAAAAGTTCCTTTTTTCAGAATTCATCGATATGTCAATTCAGACTTTGTACTCATAAAACTTAACATAAAAGAGCTTGAATCTTTATTAAGTTTATGATTTGAATGGCATGCGTTCACAAATCGATAAATTCTGCGAAAAATAACCCTTTAATCTCATAATATATTTTGAATTTATTGTTCGTATTAACGAAGAGAGTGTAGTTATAGTAATATTCACCTTTATAAGTCCAAGAGTGAAATAAGGATCCTGTTGGGTTATGGCGATCTGTGTCAAACAATCGACATACTTCCGTCAGCTTCCTGGACATGTCAATGACCACAATATAAAATGCTCTCCTTGACAAGTATACCTGATGGCATGCGTAGTACGCAACTTGTCCCGCAAAGTCTGTCATACTTATTACCTTGTTTTCTAGATATGGGTTTTCTGCCTTCTCCATACAAAAATCTGATTGAGAACAACGGCAAACAATATATTTAAGAAATAAAAGGAAATAAAAAATATTTCATAAAAAAAAAAGTGAAACTTGTTGTTTTACCTTTATATTTTTGTTTCTATTTTTGTTTCTATACAAATCTATATGAAAAAAATCTAACATTTTTAACGTTTTACTGCGCGTGCATAAGAAAATCGAAGTTTGATCGCTGAGTGGGTTGTTAGACCTGTTGATAAGATGTCTGAGCGCTTATGTCACACAATGGGTGAAGCTTAATCTAATTTGCATTCGCTGGAGTTCAAAATTGACGGGCCTGAGGTTTGAATCACGTAAGTCAGTACAAGATACACACACACACAGACACCCTCACACACCCTCACACACACACACCCTCTCACACACACACACACACACATTACGAATCATTTAATGAATTTAATCTTTGGTATTTTGTTGACCCTGGAACCAAATAGTCTGCCCTCGGCCAACGGTCTCACGTAAACTGTTTGGTTCCGGCAAAAAACAATATACCCTTGAACTCAGCCAATAAATATATAATTAAATACACTAAACTTTGACGGTGGTTAAATACAATTTGTTTCCTATACACTAATGGTAGCAAATGGAAGACATCTCTTGACTATGTACATATTAGTTCAGCATGGCATTCTAATTATCTTCCAACGAACGTCATCGGACCTTTCCTCATACTGAACATGTTCAACAAACAATAAATGTTAACTAAGCTAAATTGCACGAACAGGTTGTACATTGAATTAATGCTATTTGGTACATGTAAAATGTAATTCAATAAGCTTCGATCCCATGCACATCTGATGTTTTGGAAGTCATTTTTTGCTCTGCTCCTATTTTGTATTGTGTGATGGACTTTTAATCTTGAATACCGTTCGTTTTCTTCATATGCTTTATTTGACATCAATTATTTTTAAGATAAAAAGAAATAAATCTAAAGCTTTATGTTTCCTATAATTTAGAATAATAAAGGGACATGAACACATTTTCAACTGAATTTAGAAAATCAATTTTATTGTTTACAATTCCTAACAAAGGCTCGTCTTTGGTCAGCAAAAATTGTACCATCATTTGTTAATTAACAAACGAAATGCAGAACTTAGTTTAAAGATTAAAAAGCAGGCATTAATGCCTATGATAGTTCTCTCCATAAGTTTTAACGTTCTTTAAATTGTAAACAAGGCTTGTGTCTTTTTTAGCTTTACATATATAAAATATCATATCTATATCAAAATAAAATTCATCACTAGACAAGAGACCCATGGGCCTTATATGTCACCTGAGCATCATGCAACAACTCCCAAATGATTGAATTTGGTTCATGTTTTAAGCCAGATGCTATGGCATTCACAATTTTGAAAGAGGCACCATTGATTATCATATCTAATCTGAGTTTAATCAGGTGACCTAAAAACTGTCTAGTCGTATTTAGAATTAACGTTTTTATTGAAATTATTTGCTTTGGGCGAACATACATCAGTTTATTAACATATGTAAACAAAAAATGACACTGACCATGTTTAATAACAAGGGATTGGAGTTCTAAATCTATCTTGTATCTTGGCAGCTGAAGATCAATTTTTTGAAGATCATTAGAAAGATTTTAGTTAAATACTTGTAAAATCGAAGAAAATAAATTTGAAAAGTTTTAACTGACACTGTGTTCATGTCTCTTTAATGAAATTTATTTCTAAACATATGTATTTTTCGTGAAAAGACGTATTACCTATTAAAATGTTGTTTTCGACAGCAAACAAATCTTCATGGACTTCAAGACCTACAGTTGTCTCGGTTGGTTTATTGTCATCTGTTCTCTCTCTTCCGTGAAGCTTTCTAAGAAGAGTTGTTTTTCCCGCGCCTGCACATCCAACTATCATCCCTCTGGCTCGAAACATTTTTTCACTTCCTAGCATAGAATTCTTCACAAATCTTTCTCTAGCATCGATATTCCATCTTAATATCTCTTGTGGTATATTTACTGAAATCGAATAATAAACAAAAATCAGGATTATAAGTCCTTATTACATACAAAAATTAACCTATATATAAAAAAATATAAATGAAGAGAACTATTTAACATTAAAGTTATTAAAAAAACCATCCAGATTCATACTCACAATGTCTACTGATACTGCCATGAATCCCCCAGTCAGACACAGTACAGTGTGAGATGATATCCAGCTGTAGTTTGTCTATGAAGAGGTCGTACATCCCCCCCGGTATGTCTGGTACAAACAGACATCTTTCTCCATCACTTCTCTGATAATCCCAGGACCTGCAGTATTCTGAGATCACATCACGCGACGCCATGGTCAGAAAAAACTCCAAATCACTGTCTTCCACCAGACACTCCGTAACAAAGGCGTACATGACATCATGGCGGATGTCCTCTGATATAAACTTTACGATGCTTCCATTTATATCAATTATTCCCTTTGGAATATCTGTAATTTTTTTTTCCTCACTAAAATGCACTTCAGTGAAATATTTCTTTCTGAGTTCAGCTATTACTTTATTATGCGTTTGATCATTGACATCAAGAGAATAACTCTCCACCAAAAGAAGACTGTACAGCAGGCTCCTTATATCAGGTGGATAAATGTGGTATGTACCTAAAATTTGAAATTATAAGCAACATAGAAAATAACGGGAACATTCATAATTATAAAATGTGAATTAAACAAGATGTGTTGGTGAAACACTTGGCCTATCCACCCAGCGACAAGAGAGTTCGAAAAAGCTAATTTTAGCATATACGTAAATGTCAAGGTCAAAAGGTCATTGACTTCTCTACCATTTTGAAGAACTTGATAATTTGAATACGCATACCAAATATGAAATCTCTATCTCTCATGGTTCAAAAGTTATGGTGAAGGTTAAAGTTTGCAGAAAAAAAGCTTTTTTTGCATATAGGTCACAGTCAGGGTCACAAGGTCATTGACCTTGGTGTCATTTAAAAGAGCTTATTAGTGGAGTATGCGTTCCAAATATGAAGTCTCTATCTTTCATGGCTCAAAAGGTACGGCAAAGGTTAAAGTTTGCAGACAAACAGACAGACAGACAGGACAAAAACAATATATATCTATCGATCCGGGCGCATAAAAATTGATAAATTTATAAAAGATTCATTTTCGCAAAATAAAATTAGATAGCTTAATGCATGTATTTATGTATGGATGATAAGGAGAATAATGTAAAGGATATGAATAATATCTGATATAAAAGCTACATCCACTATCGTATTCAAATCTTAAGAAAATTAAGATTGATTACTTACCAAAACCGCTGATAAACGTAAACTATTATATACTATTGATAAAGATAAAAGAGTGTCTAACGGAAATACGTGCACCGCCACCACGGCATCACGTAACTTTTATCTATAGTAAACCCCTGATCCTGGGGCCATAAAATTCACCAATTTGGAAGAGGCATTCTTGTTCATCATAACTATACCTATGGGCAGGGAAGAAAATTTTCAAAGAATTAATGTATTTTCACTATATAATCAATAGAGCCCGGCCCTAAACAAGAACCCCTGACCCCAGGGGCCATAAAATGCACATTTTTGGTAGAGACACTCATCATAACTATGCACTTAGTTAGTTTATTTAATACCTAGGAGCAGAGAAGAAGATTTTCAAAGAATTCATGTATTTTCACTATATAATCAATAGAGGCAAGGCCTAACACCAGAACCCCTGACCCCAGGGGCCATAAAATGCACATAATTTAATAGAGACAATCGTGCTCATCATAACTATGTACTTAGTTGATTTATCTAATACCTAGGAGCAGAGAAGAAGATTTTCAAAGAAATAATGCATTTTCACTATATACTTATGTAGCCCGCCCTAGCAATAGAACCCCTGACCCCAGGGCCATGAATTTCACAATTTGGTAGAGGACTCAATCCTGATTACAATCATGCAAACAGTTTGGCTACTTGATGTCCAGGAGTAAAGGAGAAGATTTTTAAAGTTTGGATTAATTTTAGTGGTTTTGGCCCCACCCCTCAGGCCCCATGGGGACAGGGATCATGCAATTAACAATTTTTGTTTCACTTAACCCATAGATGCTTTATGCCAAATTTTGTTGAAAATGGTTCAGTGGTTTCAGAGAAGAAGCTGAAAATGTTCAAATGTTAACGCACGACGACGGACAAAAACGGATAGCAATAGGTCACCTGAGTTTACTCAGGTGACCTAAAAAGCCAAAAAGACAACAATACACCGGAGTTAAATAATTTCTTTGAGTAAATAATGAAGTCGAAAAACATCTATTTTGATGATGACTATCCTGTCAGTAGAATAATTATTACACACATTCGAACAAAACCTAATGTTTTGAATTTTATACAAATGAACCGGAATTTCTCGTTAAACAATGCTTATCTCGGGATTCTAGCAGCACTTTCCAAGCATTTTAGAAGGCAAACTTTCCATCTACATATCTTATGTTTTGAAATATCTAGCTTATTGTTGTTCTGTTACATTATTCTGTCACGATTGACAGAGGAAAGGCCGACCGGGATACGTAACTATTTAGCTGATTGTCTTTGAAAGAGAATATAATCGATGAAAATAAATCAGCCAAACCCGTTTAATTAACTTAACTCTATATGAATTTCACATAATATTCACGAAATTTGCTTTTAAACACCATTTTTCGTACCTTAACCAAATTTTCTTTACACGACATGATCAATTCCCATGTCGCATAGTTACTTGATGTATACATATGTACAAGTTTATCGGTTGTAGATTTTAAACAAAATGACAGATAAAGTATAACAAAATAAGAACATTTTAAATTTGTTAATATGTCCATGTTTCTGTTCATTTTGTAGAGTTAAATAACATCTCTTAATACCGATATTACGAAAAAGTGTGTTCTAAAATTGAAGGCATCTCGCCTTTAATGACTTCATAAGGTATCACTGATTTAGTCAAGGTAGAATATGCTGTATGTTTCCTTATTACCCTGCGTTCTAAAAACTAAATTAAAATTAATAAGAGCCAATTACGGCTTTTTCAGCCCTCTGGATTCCTGAAAACTGCATACATTTCTCGGCAAGGCAACAAATATCACTTGAATTTTAACACGCATTCTCTGTAAGCGCCAAAAAATTCATTATAGGGCTTGGAAACAACTTGTCTCGGATTTTGAAATAAAAAATACCACCGAATTGTCTTCGTACAAAAATAGTAATCGAAAGTTACACGCGTGTACTCGGCTGCCATGGAGACGGATCCATTTTTGACTTAATGAAAACATGTAAACTGAGGAAATGTAAAAAAAAAATATATCGGTATCTAAGACACTTTAACAAAAAATCATTTGATAATATGATAACATGAACGTTTATGGTGCACAGGGCATCTGTTCGTTTATTGTAGATATATTTTTCCTGTAGAAAAGGGTCAAGTTAACTGGCATGGTATCTAAAAAAAAATGAAAAATTGGGAAAATAGCATTTTTAAGATATTTAAGGTCAAATAAGAAAAATTGTCCGCAGAAAAGAACGAGTGCACTTATGGGCCCCGGTAAAATGTGAAAAAACTGAAGTTTCAAATTAAGATTAATTTTTTATCTTAAATCATTATTTGATATCTAAACCATAAGAATTAACAACTTTTAGTTTTGAAATCCATGAATATAAAAGGCACGAAGCTTTTCAATGTAGTATGGGTAAGCCGGCATTCGTGAATTTCTATAGTAAATTTCATTTCATTTCAAAGTCTTCGTTTACTGTGAGCCTTATCTTGTGCAAACTTGTGGAAAAGACAGTAGACGCATTATACGTTTAGAAAACTCTGAAAAACGATTTGGCTGGTACTTCAAAAAGGAAAAATGTTCGAAAATTTAAATGTTTTTCCTATAGCAAGCGAGAGCTATTATTGGCGTGACCCATATTGCACTGCTTGGGCGACGCGTGGGTAAAATTACTGTTTATGTGGTAAGTGCTATACTCCGAATTATAGGGGTCAGTCGGATAAAAATTCCAAATCAGATAATTCTGGGGACAAAGTTAATGCTACAGTATTCTATCTCGGAACGAAATCTAACCGGTATTGTGATACATGTGGAATGAAAAGGAAACAACGATGCAGGATCTCAAGAATGCCGCACCGATTTCTTTTTAAAGCACAGCATCGTATTTTATGACAATGCACGTTCCTGTCCTTCTCATTTCTTGGATAACTCCATAAAGAAATCAGAATTCCAAAAGTACTCTTTTAGACTCAAACGCAGATTGTTCTCGATGTAAAACAACGACCGTTTACATCAATTGTCAAAATGAAGAGAAATACTACTGAAGAAAGAGTGTATTCAAATTGAAATTGATAACCCCGATTTCCTAAACGATGAAGATTACATTAATCTTACCGGCATTTCAAAAGATCAGTTCAATACTATTTCTTCTATGGTTGAGATACCGGTCACGGTAGCCTAGTGGTAGAGCGTTCGCTTCGTGATCGGGAGGCCCGGGTTAGATTCTCGATCGCGGCGCCGCGTCATACCTAAGACGTAAACAAAGGTAGTGACTGTTCCTTCGCCAAGCGCTCGGCACTAGAAGTGAAAGTCAAGGGTCTTTCGGATATGACCTTAAAAACGTAGGTCCCGTGTCACGGTAGGCGTTGGCACGATAAAAAACCCTCACTGCTCAATGGCCCTGAGTGCCGAGTATAGGTCTAAAAATTTGAAGCCCTTCACCGGCATCGGTGACGTCTCCATATGAGTGAAAAATTCTCAAGAGGGACGTTAAACAATATCCAATCAATCAATCAATCTATGGTTGAGATAAAACAAAAACTCAAGAAATAGAAAACATTCAAATAGAACTGTAATAGGCATTTTGTTAACCAAATTGAGAACAGGTCTTTCGAGCAGTGTGTTGAAATCTTTATCTAATATTAGTTGCTGCAAGTATGTTTGTCGCATAGTGAAACGCACAAGAGAAGAATTAATGCAATGTTTCGTGCCAAAATACGACGGTTTTGACCACATGTTTAGAGATGAAGTAATTTCAAATCACACATCTTCGTTTACTGGTGAATTATTGGCATGTGGAAGTAAAAATATTGCCATTCTTTTAAATGATGGTAGATATGTTTATATTCAAAAAGGTTTCTAATACTCTTTCCAGAGAAGTCATTTAGTATCTATAAGGGTCGTCCATTAGTTAAGCTTATGATGATCGTAGCTTCAGATGGCTATATTTTGGACATTTTAGGTCCATACCTAGTTGATGGGAAAAATAAAAACGCCGCAATTTTGAACCGGTATTTGCTTTAAGGTGAAGGGTTGTTAAAATGGGCAGAGCAAAAAGATATTGTAGTTTTAGATCGTGGGTTTAGGGACTCCTTGGATATAATTGAAACAGTTGGGTTAAAATCAGAAAGTCCTTTTTTCTTACAGAAGGGAAGTAAACAGCATTCAACAAAGGGAGCCAATTTGTCTTCATTGGTTACCAGAATTAGGTGGGCGGTTGAGTCTGCGAATGGTAGACTGAGGACGTGGAAATTTTTAGCAAACGTAGGTACCAATACCCAAGTTCCCTTTATTGGTGACTACGTTCGCATTGTTGCGTCCCTTATCAATGCTTTTA